TAAATTAGTGGGGAACTGTATTAAAGGGTCGCGGGATTGGGAAGGTTGAGAACCAATGCACTAAATTAAAATGTTTCCAAGCCAATACCTTATTTTACAAAAGCGGTCAATGAACGCTAGTCCCAGAGACACAAAAGAGAGTAGCAGATTGCACTGAACATTGGTGAAACCCAATGATTCGGTTTCCAAGTACTGGATTATTAACGTATGTTCAAAAATTGAGCGGCACAGACAAGAGCTGTAGGAGGGTTTAATCTTCAGATCATATCAGTGAAATATCAAAGAACCATCTCTTCTTCAAGTGAAGCAGATTGTTGACTGAAGCACATGACATTTCAGTTTGTTACAGCATGATCTCAATTTAGAAACAAAAAAAGGAATACAATTTAAATCTTATTTAAATGTTCCTTTCTTTTAGATAAGGAAATAGAACACAAAGAGCTATTTAAATTAACGTGATGATGTTTTTATTACAGTAATTTCACATTTCAAAGCATCCTCATCAATGTTTCGAAATCCTCTGTCCTTTACCTGATTTTACTGATTGGTTGCCTATTGAAGACTTGTCTCCACTGAGCCCAATTCATTTTCAGAAATCCACCCAGATCTTCTCTCTAGATAAAATAATGCAATTAAACATGTTAAAACTGAAAGATTATATATTCTGTAAACAATTTTACAGCCCTGAGTAATCAGCACCTACAAAATGCTACAAAACACAGACACAGTTGTCAAGCAAAGCTTTTCTTCTACCGATTAATGCATTGTAAATACATTTTCTGACATTTATTTTAGCCTCTTCTTCTAATTAAACACAAGTAAATCTTCCCTTACCATCACCACTGCTATCCCTAATACTAGAGCAACTTGTAATGGTCTATCTCTCTGGATCCAGAAATCAAGACAAAAGATTCGACTCCATTCTTCAATCTAAGCTCACTGTTCAGTTTAACATCTGCATTCATCAGCTTTAGATTGGCCTTCAGACTTCCTCACCTCATGTAAAGGAAATGCAGTTTCAAACACTTTCTTCTTTATCAGGTCACGAAGCTTCTCTAGTAACAGAAGAGAAACAAGATCAAGATCTTTCCCTCCTAAAAGTAAAGTTCTGCCAGGATATTTCTTTCAAATAGAGTCTACACCCATGATGGCGAACCTATGGCACACNTTTGGAAAACAAAGGAAGTAACCCCACCCTCTATATTCATGGGAGTATGATGCTTTGTTCTTTCAAAATCCCATTGCCTTTTTTTAGTACTGCCCCATTATCTGATAGTTGTTCTCTGAGAGCCTCATTCATCTCAGTATTGAAGTTAAACCCTAAGGCTGATACCACTGGAACCATATATATATTTCTCTTCCTTTTTGCAAGAAGACCACATTTGCTCTTCTCAGGCCCTTTGCCTCTTCCCTAGATCTCCTTGCAAGCAGATCAAAAGATACTTTTCTGCAGCCTCCACTGAGAAAGCATACCTGCCTGTGGATATTCTGTTTCTTGGGCAGTAGAAGTACTAGAATCACAAGAGAACCACAAGACCTAAGTGAGATATTTTATGTTCTTACCTTGGCATATGTGCAAGTTTCTGATAAAATCCAAAATGGACACTTCTGGTCACAGAGTGGACACATGATGGTAGTGTTGGCCTCACAGATTTCTTTACTAAATCAGAGAGATAAACAAAATTGGACATTTACTGTTTTATTATCCCTACATTTCAATAACAGTGCACAGCCAGAACAGGTTGATATTGGTTGTCCTTGACTACAATACTCATCTATTCCATCCCTGCAAAATTTCATAGATGGCGATCAATTGCTTTGCATGTTACATTTTTTGGAGACACAATATGTCAATATTATAGCAAGAGTAATAAGTTATCATTCCTGGTCAGTTTGGATAAGTACCATTTAAGTATATTCATTGGCTTCTCGTAAGGAATTCCTTCTCCCAAAGTAGTTCTGGGCTCACAATGTGTTAAAAATATAACATATTGCTATATCATGCTATTATTAGAAACCATCTAAAACACAAAAATGTCAAAAAATGTAAAGATGGTTGTAAAAGAATATTTGGGGGAAATACTATAATTATAAAGACCAAAAAAATCAAAGTGTTATTACAACCAAAGCATGAAGAACTGCAATGATTTGTTGATCTTTAAGCAATAATGTGGTATGAAACAATCCTAGGGAGAAAAAAGTGGGTTGTTAGGTAAGTCACCTGCAAAACTTCCTGCAATTATTAGATTGTAGCACTCTTCAGAGTGCAAAGGGCATATGATGTCATCTCTATGGATGCATGGATGATATCACACATATACACACAAATGTGATTTTGAGGTCAATTTTTTTATCCTTTTGTGCCCTTGTTGCATAAATATCATGATGGCAGTATCCCACATTCCTTATCAAGCACTAAAGGGGAAAAGTTCTCCAGAACTAGAATACTTTGAGAATGGGTCTAACTGTTGGCCTTCCTTAAGGACAATGATTGCCTACGTTATACTATCAAGATCCATAATTTCACATCAGGTAAGATCTGGCCAACCTGACACTTAGGAAAAGACTCTCTCAAGCCAAACTAAATTCCTGGTGACTTCATAAACAGTTACATGTAGTTTTTTGGGTTGTTTTGCAATAATAAGAAATGAATTCACCATCTTCTTCTGGAATATTTTTCAGCTTCCCAGGTCAGCCTACAGTTTTAGGATTTCTTGGGAGTCTCCTAATCTCTCCTGAGATTGTGGATTTGGGGGTTTCATGAGCTGTAATCCATAATCATCACAATTATGACAAATCACAGCTTGAACCATCTTGCTTTGCATGTAATGAGTCTAT